AGCAGATGAAAATCCTTTTAATAAAAAGCTTGTTTGGGGGAGGAAGAAAAACACACACACAGGCAAATCGGCTGAGCAGGGAAAGATGAAAACCTCCTTCAAGGTAATTAAATGATTATGTATCTTTTAAACCCAGCGGATAACAGATTTGTTATCAAGGCTTGCTTTTGGCTTTTGCCATTTTTTTTTTCCCCGTCTCTTTCCCCCTCACAAAGCTACAATCCTTGCAAGGCCCGGAACAAGATAGTGTTCATCTTAGAGAAAAAGGCGGCATAAAAGAAGACATAATCCTTTATCCCATCAACTCAAGTAGGCCACCCCAGCTTACCCAGTCTGTGAAACACTGACATGAAAACTACCCCGCTGGATCACAGCAGGTCTGTACAAAGAAAAGACGGCCGATGCAATCGTGTGTATTGGGTAACAGACATCAGGAGAGACAGTTGCTATTTCTGCACCTCCTATCACACCAGAGGCCCTCAACCATTTCACTCCTCTGTGCCTCTGTTTCCCTCTGCTACTTTTTGACTGTCTTACCTGTTTAAAGAAGAAAATGACTGAGCTCTCTTACTTGGTGATTGTGTCAGGTAAGTAAGGGTTGATTTCACAGTGTGTTGGGCTGCAGTGCAATACTTTGTGGTGCAACACTAAGCCCTACACTATGACTTTAGCTACGGACAACAACAAATGTCAAAAGCAGAGACAGGATGGTCAAGCAAAAAAAATAGAAACTTGCCCGGCTCCCCTCTATCTTTGAAACTAATTCTCTCCACTTCTGCCACCAGCTATCTTTGGGAAAAACAACACCACCAATCCGCTTTAGTATTTAAATGTCTTTTTTCTTTTTCTTTTCCTCATTCTTTCCCTTCCTGCCCTCCATAGCAATAATATCAGCTCCCCTTTATAAAGCAAGAAGTCACTCAGTATATTTCAAGCTCGTGGACTTGCCTTTCGAAAACCTGCTGTAAAGGGAAATTATACGCCAAGGTGAAGCATTTCTGCCGCAAATCATCCAGAGACGTAGTCAACCCTATTTGATTGAGTTCAGTGCCATAATCATAAATACTCTTGCTTTATGACCATGCTGGATTTCATCACCAGGAGCAAACACGGGCTTTCCCAAGGCTCCCAAACTAGTTGATTCAGCTGTACTATGAGCAGAGCTGATTCACTGAGCAACTGACAACTGACAGGTAAGAAAATTGTGACTCCTTGTTGATGGTGAGAGATGTGACTTTTCTGTCCTTTCTCCATCTCTGGTTTAGTTTTGCCAAGTGGTGATAGGACAGCTGCCCTGTCCCAGCTTGGGTCTGGCTCATCACAGCTATCTACCATGCGATTCAGAGGCCCCCCTGAATGATAGATCACAGGCTATCCAGATAGAAACAGCATTTTGCCTTCTGGACAGCACGGGTCATGGCCAAGACCTTTCAGCTGTCCCACTGGATCAGTCTCAAATTCATCCTGCACTCTGCATTAACCAGCAGCTCATAATACAAGGGAAAAAAATAAGTTAAAAACCCGGGATCCTCTCAGAGCACATGAAGAAGACCTGAAAGGAAGGCAGGTGAGCCCATGGGAATCCAGAAACTGGGGAGATGTACCAAGGAAATGATGGAGTCAGATGTATGCAAGGGCACAAGCCTCCCTTCAGAGTGCTCCAGGCTGGTCCAGGGGTGATGGGTACCAGCCCAGTCAGTCCATTTGCAGCTCAGGCCATCTGGAGAGTGGGAGGCCTCAGCCCACACGATGGCAAGATGCTGCACAGGCAAAGGGAGGGAAAAAAATCACCTGGAGGTGGGTGTATCAGCAAAGAGAAGGTAAAGGCTGTAGTGTGGGGGAGGGGAGCAGGCTTGGCATGCCAGCAATGTTGATTACAGAGGGAGGGAGTTTCTGGCACTAGTCCATATGACAGAGTAACACCAATGTCTGTTTGCTTGGCAAAGAGTCTCTTGGTGCAATCAGACCATACAATCCTGGAAGCCAGCCATGCTAATCTGCTCAGCAGACTCATGGAAGGACTGCAAATGGGATGGTCCAACCACTCCACGCTGGTATTACAGTTTTCCATCGGTACCTCCTCAAGACTTACTGATTTAGCAGGTACTCATGCCTGGATGGGAGTGAACACACCCCACCCTCATCCTCCTGGGGTCCAAGTGCTTGTAGAGGAAAGGATGGAAAGGAGCATTACAGTTGGAGATGGAAGGCCAGTAAAAAAAGAGCCACACAAAGTGATGGTATGTTTTGAGCACTACTGAAGATGCTATTGGGATGGCCGGAAATGGACCTCTGTCCTGTCAACCTTTTGAGTCATGTTATGTCACTGGGAACCGGGTGAAAGTCTGGATGGGCAATGAAGAGCCAGGTTTGGCTTTAAGATACCAAATAGTTTCTATTGTTCAAAGTAGGGATGGGTCTAGGGCAGAAAAGGAAATAATTAATGATGAAAGTACAAAATAGACAGTGGAAATTCCAGTGAGAGAGATGAGTCAGTGAGGAGATGGCTTCTCAAGAGAAGCGTGGGAGATACACGTATTTATTCAAAGTGCCATTTGACAAAACCTTTCTGGCCGCAGAGCAAATGTAAATTTGTGTTTGTCAGAATGCACTTGTGATGCCATCCTCCCCAGCCCTAGTGTCCTTGAGGGCCACAAATGCACAGACAGCAATGAGAAGGACCCTGAAGATACAGGGCATTTCCCACCCTGTCAGGCAAAGACCTGTCTCTGAAAGTTTTGATTTTTGCATGGCTATTATCCTTGCAGACATTGTCCGGTTGTTCCAATGATGAGAAGTGTTTCTTCTGTGCAGCAGACATCAAAACCAGCTCCTGAGCTGAGCAGCTGAGTGCCAAATGTTGTCTCCTGTGAGTTTGTGCCTAGACACGGTTTTGCTGCAGAAGCCAAGAGGGCTCCCACCCTCATTAGCAATGACCAACATAGCATAAATGTGACACATGATACAATCATTGTCTTGTAGATCAACAGTTGTCTTCTAAGGTCAGGTTTGTGTCTATCCCTACTACCATGCAAATCACACACGGCAGTTTTGCAAGATCAGAAGGGGGGAAACTTGAAGCTCAGAAGGAAATTCTCTGTTAAAGGAGATAGAAGAGAGAAAGAGCAATCTCTACTGACAGACAAAGCCCCCCAGACTGGAGTTGTCCCCTAGTCTGAAGATGATGCCTTTCAGAAAGAAACCCAATGAGAGGTAATAAAGCAGCAATGGAAAAGGTGTGCTAAAATGGGCAGATCTGGAGATGACAATGAGTCTACCGCCTCCTCCCCAGTTCTGCAGCTCAAGACCTTGGCAGAGATAGAGTAAAGACCAGGGGCTGTGCCATCCCCAGTCCCTTCCCTAAGGAACTGGGAAGACACAGAGCTTTTAATGACCTCTTTTCTGATGGGAGCAAGTATAAGAAACACCAGGGATGTGATAGGGGTTGAGGGAGGAGGAGAAACACTGTGATTTGTAGGCACTTCGCTTTGGGCAGGGTGCTGGAGGAGAGAAGAGGTGAGAACTGGGAAGGTGAATCCGGTGCTTGGCACATGAGACACACCAGAGGAGTCTACCAGAGGAGATAAGCAGTGGCATTGCACAGCGGGAAGCTGAGACAAAGCGTCCCAGGCAATGTCACCTGAGCAAGAGGTTGAGGTCCCTCCGGTTCCTGAACTGGAAGGCACAGAGACCTGTGGCCAGCAGGACTGGTCAAACTCTGTCAAGGCTCCACGCGAGGGAATGGGGCTTGTCCGGTTGGGACAGCCTACCAGAAGGGCTGAACCCCGGGCTGCCTTCCTGCACCACTTCACCACTAAGGGGAGGGTGTGGAGCCCTCCAGCTCCTCAGCAAGTTTTCCAGCAGGTTTACAGCAAATTCTGAATCCTGGTAGATGAAGAACTGGCAGCCTCCCTGCTCATGAATATTTATGTTCTGTCCCAATGCCATAGCAGTTCAGGATGTCTGCACCTCAACCAGCACATATGTGACATCTCAGGCAGCACATAACGAAGGGGTGGGAGGAAATGGGGGATGCCATAGGTGTGTGAAGACACTACACCTGTGTCATTCGGTCCAGCAAACTGCCTTGTGGGGGCATGGGCTGGGGGTGGGTGAGGGAACACGTTAGAGACACCAGACCCAGCAGCAAGTGCAGGGAGCAGTGGGGATTTCATCCTCCAAATGCAATAGACATTGCCGGAGACTCCAGCAGCAGCCGCCTCTGTGCCAGGTGGTTCGGCAGATATCAGATCTCTTAATGGGTACTGGTCCCTTGGGCCAGGCAAACAACGAGCTGTCTCAGGTCATTTACCAGACAGGCCAGGATGCTTTCAGACCATTCCTGACCAGGAAGTAATTAAGTGGCTTCCTATTTGTATTCTCCCGAGCTCCACTTGTCTGCAAGTGCTCATTAGTTACAATACGAGCCAGACAGCGTTTGCAGCACAGCAGCCAGCTCTGTATTAAGCCCCAAGGTCCAGTTCAGCTCAGCGACTGGCAATGAGGCATTCCCCAGCCTCATCTGGAGGCAGTTGGATGCACTGGCCATTAGGCACCAAACCGATGAAGGCACAGAGGTGCTCGAAGCATAGCTGAAATCCACTGACACTGTGGAGGTAGCCCTAAATCCTCCCCAGATCTTGGCAGCCTCTCTGCTTAGAGGCAACCTCCTTTTCTCCTGGAGGAGGTGCATGTCCGGTATTTCCCATCCCTCCCAGTTCCTTGGTACTGGGAGCTTGCAGTGGCTCTCTGAGTATATGAAAGGGAGAGGGCAGGTTGCTGGGGACCTGCTGGAGAGGAGAGGAGAGGAGAGGAGAGGAGAGGAGAGGAGCTATCTGCAGAAGGAAAGGTGAGGGTCTCCTGGAGAGTAAGCAGAAGAGGGAGAGGGTGGGAGTGCTGGTGGAGAAGACTTCCTGGACTGTTGGTGTGACCCAGGCCAAAAGGTGACATCAGCCCTGAGCAGCCCACGTACGCGGCACATGCCCCGTGCCCCTGCCTACCTCGGGCAGCTTGACTCGTCCCTCCTGGAAGGAGCAGGAACTGGGGTCGTGAGTGCAGACGTGGCGGTACTTGCACCAGTGACACCGGTAAGGGCTCTCCACACATGACAAACACCTGGAGATGGAGAAAAAGAGTAGTAACTTGGCCAGCTGGGCCCCGTCAGCCAAAAGGACACACCTTGAGGCTGATAGTGTTTCTCAGCAGGCAATACAGCCCAGCAAACATTGCTTTTGCCACCACTGGCAGAAGGCCATGGGTTTTGCATTGACCCAACACTGTCAGGTCCCAGGATAATGCTGGACTTGCTGTGGCCTCAGATGGTTGGTTATCACTGTGATCACAAGTGTCTCATATTAATTAGATAATTTAGGTTGCATTCATGTGCTGGTAACTAGAGTAATAATAATTATTGTTAGATTTTGATTGCCTTGTTACAACTTTTAATCAGACTGTCAACAAAGTCTCAGCTTCATACATAAGAGGTGTTCCCCTTTTTGCCCATAACAAAATCCCAAGTGTAACAAAAAATATAAGATCAGGGGATGGGTGGAAACTGCTACAGCCTTGCTGCCTCCACACTGAACTGCACCAGTGCCCTGGGAGCTGCAAACACGTCGTGGGAAGGTGGCTAAGGGAAGGGCTGGTGGGTGGAGTGGTACCCATGGAGGGGAGTCCCTGTGCACCAGCAGTCCCAGCTGGTTAATCTTCCCACTCACACATGATACAGAGGCCAAACACCAACTGGGATGCACTGAGGGCAGAAAGCCAAGGATGAAGCAGGAAATTTTCTCCCCCTGTGTCCCACAGGCTTATTAATGTGACTTCTGCCCAGGGTGATGGGGTTCCTGCAAATATATTAACTCTCTTCTTCTTTTCTTCATCTCAGCAGAGATGTAAAGACAATTGTAGCAGCTGCTGAGGAAGCAGAGGGAACGTTTAGGAAGTCACCTACTCAGGGTTTAGGAAAGAGCCATTCCCTCCATCTTACAAGGTTTTGCTGTCCTATGCACCATAGACCCTATAGAGTGAGAGCTGCAAACACCTCTCCTGGCTGTGTTACCGCACTGACTTATACCTACATCGTTCTTTTTTTATTTATTTTTTTTTTTATTTAATACGATGTCTGCTCACCGGCAACCAAACTGAGCCATAACAAGCTTTTTGCACAAAACAAGCAGTGGATGGTAGCAACTCCTGATCACTCACGCTGTTGGAGATCTTCATGCAGCTGCAGGCTCTGAAGTACCTTGGAGGGGACTTGTAGGGGGGAAATTTTCCTGGCCCTTATGTGCCACTGGGTTTTTAATGGGCAGGAGTGAAAAATTTGCCTCCAAGCAGAGCTTGGCTGAGCCCAACAGGCAGACGCACACCCTCTCCCCTCTCTCTGTGAAATCTCGCTCAACTCCAATCCGCTTTCAGCTCTGGTACAGCGAGCTGTTCTTCAAATTGGTAACAAGTGCTTGCTCTGATACATCAAATTAAAAATGGATAGCGTATTATAGTTTGTCAAGTAAGAAACCAAAACATGCCATAAATATTTAACAGCACCATCTCTCCTGCTCTCCCCCCAACACTTGCTTTCTGACACTGTTTGTCAAAGCAGCAGGAACACGGAAATAGGATTTGCCTTTCCTTGTGAATTGCTGAGCCGCAGTAATTATCTGCTTTTGGCACTTCTGATGGCTCAGTGGTGGGGACAGAGCAGCTCAGCCTTGCTCAGGGGTGGATCAGCCTGTTGGAAGAGCATCTTTCTGCAGGAAGGCTGCAGACTCGCTCCGGTGGGGCAGCTCCTGAGCAGCCCTGGGTGCCAGATAAACCCTAGAATGGGGTGCACGGCAGGAAAGGAGCTCACAAGATGGAAAAGGTGGTCTGGAGGGAATTAGCTGGGTGTTCCCTGCTTGGTTGACATCATGCTGAAACCAGCAGCTCCTGTCTTTCCAGATCTGAGGGCCCAAGACCATGCTAACCACCTGGGGCAGGCTCCTACTGGTGGGATTGACAGCATGGAGGAGGGTTGGAGGTGCGTATGTGCAGGCAGGATCCAGCCATTCACAAACAACTTTTTAATAGGAAAATGAGGGGGTTATTTGCTGAGGTTATGACTCGCTTTTGACTCCCTTCCCTCGCATACTCCCACTGATGTGTTGCTCCTCTGCCTGAGGGACACAGGAGGATGTAGCACTCCCCAAGGCAATGCTTCCCTGCAAAGGATGCTTGTCATCAGAAAAAATGGTCACCATACTACTCTTGCTCTTCTCGGGAGAGATCCCACCATGCTGACCATCACCCAAGTGACCCTGTGTCACTGGTCACACCCTGGCCCTCCTGGTCACCTCCACACCTAACCAGCTTCCTGAGGGATATGTGCCCCAGAGAGCAGTGGGTTTTGTGGCAGATCCAGAGGTGGAATGAAAAGCAGGTATCAAAAGAAATTAACATACGAGTTGTGGACGCTGCAGTTGTAGAAGACGAAGCTGGTGCTGGCAAAGGTCATACCAGTTTCCTTGGACTTGAGCTGAAGCTGGACAATGTGATGATCTCCTGGCGAAAAAAATAGACACATCAGTGTGTGATTGCTTTGTTAGCCTAGTAAGCCCTGTTGCCCATGTCACCAGTATGAACCTGGAGCTGTCCCACAGTACCTTGGCTAGTCTGTCCTCAATAGCTGTAGGAAATGCATTAAAATCCTTCTAGAGCCTGGCTCTCCAACTGGTACAC